TCTCCTAGTATTTAGGTCCCCCTCTTATTCCTGTATTCTATCGAGGCCTCGAGGCCTAGGCAATCGGCGAGGACGGCGCGGCCGGCGCGGCAATATTAGTAATAGTGTTACGGGGTATATTGCTAGTTAAGAAAGAAAGGACATAGCTATATTAGTAACGGTATTACCGAGTTGTTATTAGTTAAAGAAGGAAATTAGAAGAAGGTAAAGTTAGCGCTAAGACGACTAGCGCCGCTATTGTTAACATTACTTGCTATTGTCGCTACGCCTATAGATACAACCTTACCTACACTACGAGCCTAAGGCACCTTTAATTAAAACTTTAATCAAAACTTTGAGGCTAAGTTAAAATATTAAGGCTTAAAAGGATTGAGTAGCTTAATAGACTAACTAACTAAGGGCAAAACTATAGAGCTAAGCTAGCCGGGGTCGATCTTGCGGACAATAGGTTACTCCTCGATCTATCTAACCCTTTAAGCGAGGCGAACCTCTACTACTATACTTATAATAGCCTTCACCTATAGAAACTAGAAGAACTGAGTTTTTTGAAAAGATATAATTGGTTGACACTTAAAGGCTACTAAACCTAACTAATTAGGGCTAGTAAAACTACGACAGTAAATAATAGCCCTCGTAATAACAAGAACAACCCTCGGAACGGACAAACCCTCGGAAGCGGACATTGCTAGGTCTTTTAAGAGTAGACGCAAAGAACTCGATACGACATTACTTAGAACGGAGGCAGTGCTGCAATACCTCGTACGTCTACCTATTATAGTAGGGAAGACGCGCTCGTATTATAATTAGTCGAAGGCCCTCAATTCTTATAGATATATATTACTTTATAGTTCATTATATATAGAAATAGCGTAGTCGGAGTTAGATATTGTGTTAGAAGGTGAGGTTTAATATAGTTACATAATTAGGTAGTTAAGTGTTTAATTTAGCGTAGCTAAGCAGCTTATTAGGCTTGCTAAGTTAGTAGCAACGGAGGTCGAGGTTAGAACATAGAAAGGCTACGAGGGCGCGGCCTTTAGAAGGGAAGCGTATATTAGAGGCTATACGTAATTAGTATATAACTAGCTCGAGTAAAGCTAGGGTCTCAGTGCCTTAGGCAGGGCTTAGCGCTTGGCGTTAGGCTAACTAGCCTGCCTTCCTCCTTCTCCTCCTAGTTCTCTATCGAATACTACCTGTACCTACCACTACCCTATCTACCTACTAATATACCCTTCTTATACTAGGTACTTTAAGTGTAGTAAGGCGGGCTATTTTAAGAGAGACTACAAGTTAAAAAAATAGATAGTAGACTCTATTATAAGGCTAAAGAGCCTACTAAAAAGATAGCCTCTAGTAATAATCCCTTCGTAGTTTTACTAGGGTAAAAGACTAAATATTATTTACTATACTCTTTAAGCTACTTAAGAAAGGAAGGGGTTAGAGAAATTGATTGTACTATTTAAAGATTGGCTACTATAGATTCTAATTTGTTCGTAGTCTAAGGAACTATTAGACTACCTACTAAAATTACTAAATGCAAATTTATATTGGATTCTGTAGCTTCTAAAGTGTATATTAATAAGTCTCTAGCCTAGAAGCTCCTAGCCTCCCTTAAGATTCCCCTTCCTCTAATACTAGTAGCTTTAGCTAATAGGTAAGTTATAATTTCAACTAAAGGTCTTTTACTCCTATATTAGGTTAGATCCTTCTAGGATATAGTACCTGCTAGAGTCTTAGACATCCCTAACTTTAATATTATCCTTAGCTTTAACTAGTTCTAGCTCTATAATCCCTTAATTAACTAGTAGCAAGGATCTATTAAGCTAAGAGACAAAGCAGGTAGGATACACTCCTTAAAGTCTAATTCTAAGATTTTTAACCTAATCCTAGACTTAGAAGTTAAAGCATATACCTCCCTCTGCTCCTTAGAGACTCTTAGGAAAAGCTATAGACTAACCTACCTAGCTATTATTAAAGAAACCTATTACGCTACGAAAGAAATGGTAGGACTACCTAAGTTAGGATTATTATATTAATATAGGGGATGCTAAACCTATTAACTATCCTACTTATTAGTTAAACCTAGGACAGCTCTAGGAGTAGGCAGACTAAATTGAGCTTCTACTTTCTAAAGGATTAATCAAACTATTAAGCTCTCTTTAGGGAAGCCCTATACTCTTTATACCTAAGCTAGGAGGCAAGTAGAGGATGTATATTAATTATAGAGCCCTCAATTCTGTTACTACTAAGAATAGCTATCTATTGCCTAGGGTCTAGGAATGCTTAGATACTATTACCTAAGGGGAATAGTTTACTAAACTAGATCTTCTCTCTAGATATTAGTAGCTGCTTATATATCCCGATAATGTTCCTAAGATAGCTTTTAATACTAGAGATAGGAAGTATAAATTCTTAGTAATGCTATTTAGCTTAACTAATATACTAGCTACCTTTCAAACTATAATAAATAATATCCTTAGAGATTTGCTCTAGAAGAATATTATTATATACCTTAATAACATTCTAATCTTTAGCAAAACTAAGGAAAAACATAAGCAATACTTAAAAGAAGTGTTTAGAAGGTTAAGGGACTATAAGCTTCTCTGCTCCCCTTATAAGTATAAAATCGGTATTAAGGAGGTTACCTTTTGTAGCTACCTTATTACTAACTACTAAGTCAAACCTATATAGGACAAGGTTGAAATAATCTCTAAATAGCTAAATCCTACTATAGCAACCTAAGTTATACAATTCTTAGGTTTGGCTATTTACTATAGGAGATTTATTAAGGGATTTGCTAAATTAGCAGCCCCCTTCTTAGACCTATTAAAGGAGAGTAATACACTTCTTAGAGTAAAGAAGAACAGGCCTATTAAATAGAATGCCTAATATACATTAGTATTTAGGGCCCTAAAGACTGCTCTTTCTTCTTTACT